TAATAATAATAATAATAATAATAATTATTATTATTATTATTATTATTATTATAATTAATGGATTCTAATTGTTTTTCCTTTTTCAAGAAAAAGTTCACATATTTTTTTTGTTAATGATATAAAATACGACTGAATCTTAAAAGCATTTTTATCCTACAGTAGTTCATCATCATCTCATATAAATTAGCAAGCAACATGTAAAACTACCAGAGAACAATAGTAACAACATGTATTGGATATAAGTAGGTGATGTCCTTTTTTTATAGTGGTGACCTGACGAACGAATATATCAAATTACTTTTTTAATATAGCAACTTGAACTTGTATAGTTTAGTTAACACTGTAGGGTTTTTATTTGTGCTACATATCTCTACAATATAAACTTCTGTACATGGATGAATACTTCTAAGACTGTCAGTCAATCAGTCAGATGCAACGTAGAACTTCGTACGTAAGTACATCAGTTCATGTCGCCATACCACATCAGCACAGAGATATCATTGTCAATTCAAATCCTATAGTAGAAGAGGTAGTAAAGGTATTAGAAGTAATCAGAGAGGTTAGGATTAGAAGATATTATTCAAGAAGTATGATTCAGTGAGATAAGTTTAAAAAGTCAAAACTAGAGGGGTCGAAGAATCCAGAAGATTAGGATTTGAGAGAACACAGAGAATAAATGCACTGGCGTCATTGCAAACGGTTTTGAGCCATGTCATTCAGGATATCTAACCATCGATTATTATCATCTCACGGACCAAAACCAGTTAGTTGACAACTACCGATATGACTCAGTCCACTTGTTGTCAGTGACTTCATGGATGTGTGCCATGTTTTGGTTTGGCCACCCCTAAATTTCTTCCAACCTATTCCTACACTACAAAACAAAGCTCGACGAGGCAGTCGGTGGTTGGGCATACGCAACACATGTCTCAACCACCTCAACTGATGAAGTTTCATTACATCATCTATTGATCTGCCATTCTTACCTAGCACTCGTTTCCTAATAACAGCGTTGCTCACTCGGGTGTCCCAGGACATACGAGCAATGCTTCTGAGACATCTATGATCGAAAACTAGTAAGCTACGAATATCTTCTACTCTTACTGGCCATGTTTCACAGCCACAAAATAAGACAGAGAGAACTACTGGACAGTACACTCGTCCTTTAATTAGCAAACGGATATCTCGCCTACGCTATAAGTGACGCAGGTTGGCAAAAGCCAATCGAGACTTCTGTATCCGTGCTGGGACTTCGTCAGTCACCAGGCCATCGGCACTGATCAGACTCCCCAGATAAGTGAAGTGTTCAACACGTTCAACTACTTCACTCCCTATCACTAGTTCAGCTGCCGATGCAACCCAATCTTGAAGCAACATTTTGCATTTCGATGGGGGAAACCGAATCCCGAACATGCTTGCATTGTTGCTTAGGGTAGTCAGAAGACTATGCATTTTGTCAGCGTCTTCACCAAGTAGGACTATGTCATCGGCATATTGCAAGTCAAAAAGCGAGTCACCTGGTAATAGGTCTACTCCTGAAAATTCAGACGAGGATAAGGTTATTTCTAGGAGCATGTCTATGATAAAATTAAACAAAATAATTACGACTGATCAAGCATTGAATAGCATATATTGATTTAAATTTTAAGTAGACGATATGATATAACCGGATGTTTAGTACCTGTTGAGGTAGTGAATGTACACAAAATTCAAGCCCCATGATAATTCAAAATAGCTGTCCAGTATTTCCTAGTTTGAACGGTCATTTAATCATGATTAGTCAGCGATATGATCTGTGACAGGAAACAATTTTTAAAAATCCTTTAAACTGATCAAAGTTAGTTTAAGTGAGCGCAACTATCTGGTTCATGCTATATCTTTGACTGATTTTTTCATCAATCATGTGTTCTCCTAGTTGTTAATTTTACATCTTTTTTTAATTCCAAAATCCCCGTCGCCAATTTTTTCATAGCTTTTCAACTAACCTATACTGCAGATGGCTTTTTAGTAATCAATATACCACAGGAACGGAAGACTTGTGGTGGCCCATTTCGACGTCGGGCTCACCATATGTGTACACGGGCGAGCGAATAAGCGACTGAAGCGAATCGTATCGAGTGAAGGAAGCGATGGGGAGAAGGCCAGTGAGCCAACTCCCAAGATTACAATGCGAATGAATAGGCGAAGGAAGCGAACGAATAGTTGAAGCTCGTTGGAGAAGACTAAGAGCCAACTCAAAGAAATAGAGTATGACTAAGAATATATAGTCAGACAAATATAAGACAGACATGTGACAAGCGAAATAGGCACACATGAATAAAAGCGACGAATAGTTGACAAGGTCAAATGACAAGTGGAACAATACACATGAGCTCATACAAACCAGACAATAATAAGAACGAATGGTACATATAAATTGTTGCAATACAAACGGACTAGTCAAACAGATTAATCGAAAGGGCTTAACCAAGTTAGATGTTAGCGAACTGGAATGTATGTGGAGGTACTACAGACTAGACTACTCTGTGCTTGAACGATGGTCCAGTACTGACTTGACTCAATCGAAGAGGAAGAATAAAATGACCAATTACCATCAGTCCAAGATTTTTTATCACCACTATATTTCAAATATTCCTTTATATATACAACACATAAACAGATCACATCATACCAATCAATGGAAATGAACAACAATACATAAATGAACCAAAGGTGGCTGTCAGTAGAGGAGATTGCAAACAATAAACTAGCTCACTAGTGACTACTTTCGTGAGGAATCTTCTCCGAGTTCTAGTGGGAAGACGTGACCAGTGAAGTTCAACCTGTTCAGGTGTAGACAGTAACTACAGAAGACTGTGTATGAGGTTGCGCAACTCCGTGAATTGATCGATATTAGACATTAACACCGTTAGATAGCGGCTCAGTGGTCCGATGGTTAGGTGTTCGCCTACAATACCGAGCTTCCTGGGTTCGAATCCTGCGGAGTGCAGAAGTCGTGGATGCGTACTGCCACTGATGAGTCCCATACCAGGACGAAACGACCGTCTTTCAGTTCTTCTAGGTTTCTAATGCTGGTCTAACATTGATCGATTCATGGTTTCAAAAATGTGTAACTTAACAATCTTCACAACCCCGTAAAACAAAATAAAAAGAATAATAAATCATGCGATCATAGTCAATGAGTTATTCAAAAGCTGAGGATACAGAGAATATATTTAGATAATAATTTAGTTACTTAAAAAAATTTTATAACTAGACTTTTTATACAAAATAATCGATACACTGGGTTCTTCAATTAATATTTACTTGAATCACCATCCAAATAGAACAACAATTCCCTTCTGTCTAATTTCTAACATTTTCTAAAAGACTCGCTTTGTTGATGAACCGTGCCTTTTTATGATAAGATGTGATATTCTAGGCTACGTTTTATAGTTTGCAAGAGTCTAACGATCAATGTATTTGGTGTTTAGTGATAATGTGTATATTTTGCTTAGCATTATGGATTAGTTATTGGGGCTATGCATTGCTACACTTCAAATGTTTTTAATTAACTAGAATAGAGTTCAATCTTACCTAATAAAAATTAGACTTGATGACTGAATGATACTCAAAACACTTTTTACTTCCTCAAACTTGAATAAATCTTTGTTTGTTTGTTTTTGATACTACATGTAACTAGATTTCATAAGACGTCTTAACTTATTCCGCTGTAAACACCAATAAAATGTTATTTAACGCTTGTCGTATTCAGATGAAACACATTTTTAAACGATAGCGCAATTATGTTCCCTGAGTTAGATGTTTTGCCTGTGAAGATTTTATTGTTCTTCTGAACAAAGTCATTAACACGTAGACGAAGCTGAAGAGCACGTCCACGTTGTCCGATACAATGTTTTTGACAGTTTGAACTGTTTAGTTTGTAGACGATGTTTAGTTTTTCTCCTTTTGTCATTTTATCCTTCTGTTTACATGAGGCTGAATGAAGTTGGTTTATGTGCTGCACCTGTTCCAAACGGCCTCAGTAAATTTGCTGCAACTTCCGATATGTCATTCATATATGGTTGGATAACTCGTTTGTTGGTTCCTGTACTTGATTTCACCACTACTGGTGATTTAGGTTGATATATTTTGGTGGAGTTGTGTAGATAGCCATCTTTTTGGAAGATATTGATCAGATTTTTCCTTCGTTTTTTCTCGCTTCGTGTGCGCTACAGTGTGTTTTCGCATTTGATTCTGTTAGTTCTTGAGTTGTTACCATTGTAGGTGAGAATTATATATATGTGTGTTGGCTTCCCATATACTTGAGTGTTCAGTTTTCCTCTGTCAGTTCTGGTGAGTAATACGTCCCGGCATGATACCCTGTTATTTGATTCCTTTTCCTTTGTGCATTTTATGTCATCAGAGACGTTGTTGATGAAATTGTATGTGTTCGCCAGTTGAAAAGGAACAAGCTTGTCTTGTAAATGAAAGTCTGAAGATAAGGTGTACATATTTTGTTTGGTAAATAATTGTGTGTTGTCTAAAAACACTGCTATTCGATCTGCTCTTGAGGCTTTTGTTTGTTACACCAGGATAACCAGTTGTCCAGACAAATGCCTTGTAATTTTGACTAGTACTATGCGTGTCTAACTACCATAAACGTGTGACAGTGAGTAATCATAGTTCATTGGCTTATCTCCACCGCAATGACGAAAGTTGGTCACAAAAAGACTGAAGTTAAATCTGTTAACCATTCGACAGTGGCTTAATGATCAAAATTATAGACCCTGGTCACGACAGCTAAGTGTCCTCAGTTCGATAGTTGATAGGATCGTGAATGCGATTTGTTGTGAAACCCACTACTAGAATGAAACAAATATTTAGCGGCTTCTGATATTTTTAGTGAATATCTAACCTAGATTGATTTGTAAAATCATGACAATTTATTGGTTGCTTTTGTTGGTTTTCTCAATTGTCTTGATATTTCCAATTTGTTTCTCTTTTTTGTCTTTTGACAGGTGAACCATTCACTTGTGATTTTACAGTAACACCAATAAGAAATGAACGATCAGAAGTTGTTCTATTCCTTTGTTGTTATCAACAAATAACTAAAGATTCAATTTATTCGAATAATAAACATTTTAAAATGAATCATTCAAAAATGCATTCTGTACTTACATGGGCATCAGAATTACCATTTTCTAAAAGTTATCTACAAATGAGAAATAATAATTGTGGTAAGTTACAGTAAAATATAATAGACATGTATCTTCTAGAAATTTGGTTTATTGTTGCATAACACAATATAAAGTTTTCAATTTAAGTACACAGCATATCTCGTAACTTATTTTCTGTATTTTTTAGCAAGTAATCGGTTATTATGTCATTGCTTATGTTTGATTTTTCAAATACTTATTTTTGGTGAATATTAACAGATGAAATAATCGGGTAAGAGTTAATTATATGTAGTAATCTTAGTCGTCTCGTTTAACTTAACATTTACTTGACGGATATTGTTGGGGATGTTAGATCCCCAGAAATCGCTTGATAAATATCTTTATTTTAGATTTATTTCATGAACCGATCAGTTGACCTTGAGATCACATTTCCCACCAGCAAAATCTTTGGCTGTGATTGGTTACTGTGTCATTTTAGTGTGCTATTTTTGTGACTGTCCAAAGGACGTCTCCATAGAGTATAAATAAACGCAATTTGAGTGCTTGGATTCATTGTGTGCTGTCTGGGTGTTTGTAGAATACAATTTCTACACCATATCAAGACTTCTTGCCGATTCAGTTTGGTAAAAGGATCACAGTAGCCAACCTGGAAGCTGGTTCATTGATTTGTTCTCGTTATACGACTGTGGTGAACTCGTAATAGTTTAAGCATACCTAAAGACGAGCGTAACAGATATGCAACGTAATAAATTTTTACTTGGCTGACAA